ATATAGAATGTTTATTGCTGAAGAACTTGCTGAAAAAAAGCTGAAGTTAGCTAAAAAACTGAAATGTAGCTGAAATACAAGAACAAGCCTAAGTTAGCAAAAGAAAGCAGAAAGAACACATATTTGCTGAATTAGGTTTAAATGAGCAGAAATGAGCACAAAAATTAGGAAATTAACTAAAAAAAGCTGAAATTAGCAAAAAAATAGCTAAAAAGTAGCTGCAAAGGCAGAAAGAAGCTTAAACTAGCAGAAGGAAGTGGAAAGAGCTGAAATGAGCTAAAAAAATAAGTTGGAATTGGCTGTAAAAGCTAAAATGAGCATAAAACAGCTAAATAGTACCTGGAATAACTGAAACTAGTAGAAATATGCTGAAAGGAGCATAACAAGCTGAAATTAGCAGAAAGAAGTTAATTAGGCTGAAAGTTTCAGAGATTACCAATGAAAAACTTGAGTTTATCTGAAAACAGCTAAAATTAGCTTAAAAAGGTAGTAGATATGGTAGAACAAGTTTAAATTATCAGAAGAAATCAGAACGAACATGTTTGCCCAATTAGGCTGAAAGAAGCAGAAATGAGCACAAAAAATGGAAATTACCTAAAAAAAGATTAAATGAGCAAAAGAACAGCTGAAAAGTAGCTAAAAATGCAGAAAGAAGCAGAAATTACAAGAAGTGGACAGAGCACATCTTTGCTGAATAAAGGCTGAATAAAGTTTAAACGAGAGCAAAAAATGTGGAATTGCTGAAAAAGCTTAAATTAGCATTAAACGGCTAAATAGTAGCTGAAATAGCAGAAAAAGTAGTAGTATTTGAGCATCGTCCTCAACATATATTTTTATTGCAACACGTATTGCTTAATTTTGATTTTATTTATTGTTTGCTTAAAACCTTGATGTTAACTGTTGCAGTCAATCCCGTTTGTTAGCAAAACATCTCATAAACCCGTTTGGCAGATTTCAATGAAACTCTCAGAAACGGCTTATTGTAAATATTATTACATGCACAAGTGACAAGCTTTTAGAATCAACCCTATTAAAGATGGCCGCCACAGCCTACACAGAGATGACTGACTTGAAATGTTCAGCTAAAATTAGCTGTGGTAGTAGGTGAGAATTATTGCATGAGATTATGCGTACGAACAATTATAACTGGATGATGTTCGTCTGAAACACGGGTCAGAGAATGTGGCAGGCGTTAAGCATTCCTTCAGCTTGGTCTTTAACAATGTGTCTCATTCTGGCTTCATACAGTGTCTAACAATTATTGTGTGTTAGCTTCTTTCCACAAGCTGAGAGACTACTAGTGCTAAACACTCCTGACATGGACAATATAAACTTTTTTTAAAATATCACTAAATTTGAACTGTTGTGTTTAATGTTAATGACTGCTTTACTTTTTGAACTCAGGCTTTAGTTTATAGTAATAGTTGATATTCAAAGTATATTTATTTCCTTTTTATATTTTAACACTTATTTGCTCTTTATTAATAATATTTTGGCACGGTGGCACAGTTGGTAGAACTGCTGCCTCTCAGCGAGCAGGTCACCCCAGTTCAAATCCCAGCCGGGGGCCTTTCTGGGTGGAGTTTGCATGTTCTCTTCGTGCATGCGTGGGTTTTCTCCGGGCACTCCGGTTTCCTCCCATGGACCAAAACATACGTTAGGCTGATTGGTAACTCTAAATTATCGCTAGGTGTGAGTGAGAGAGAGAATGGTTGTTTGTCTCGTTTGTCTCCATGTGTCCCTGTGATGGACTGGAGACATGTCCAGGGTGTCCTCCGCTTCTCGCACAGTGATGGTTGGACATGGGCACCAGTGACCCCCGCGACCCAAAAAGGAAGACGCGAGTAAAAGATAACGGATGGAAATTTGTGTGACCGCTTATGAAGCATTCACACTATTGTGATCCATTTTTCTTCCGTACGTTTTTCAACATCTTTCTCATTTCACATTTTTTGTGCGATTTAAAAAAAAAAAATCATAAATCGCAACGTTCAGCTCATTCAGGAGAAGGATGATGTGACTTTTGGCATTGGTACAACTTTAGCTTTTTGAAATATTTAGCCTTTTCTGCCATTTTTTTCTCCTAGAAAATGAATTGAGCTCATTTGACTGTTCTGTTTCAGCTTCTTTCATCTTCCTTCTGTAAATTTAAACTTTTTTTTCTCCAGCTAACTTCAGCTGTTTTATGCTCGTTCCTACTTGCTCATTTCAGGATCTTTATTCTAACTGCAACATTTTTGTGCTTCTGACTTATTTCTGCTCCTTTCAGCTTGCTATGCTCCTTTCAGCTTATTTATGCAAGTTCAAGCTTCTTTCTGCTATTTCAGCTACGATTTAGCCATTTTTATGCTAATTTTAGCTTTTTCAGCCAATTCTATTTTTGTTGCACTCATTTAAACTTTTTCAGCCGAATTCAGCAAAAATGTGCTCTCTCCACTTCCTTCTGGTAACATAAGCTTCTTTCTGGTGTTTAAGATATTTTTCAGCATTTTTTTTGTTGCTAATTTCAGTTTTTTTTTTCCAGGTTATTTCTACTTTTTGTGCTCATCTTTGCTTCTTTCAGCAAACACATGTTCTTTCTGTTTTCTTCTGCTAATTTAAGCTTGTTTTAACCATTCAGCTAAATTTTTAGAATTTTTGAGCTTCTTTCAGCTGTTTTCAGATAAATTCAAGTTTTCATTGTGATTTTTGCTACTTTCAGCCTTGTTACATTATTTCTAGTAATTTCAACTTGTGCTCATTTCAGCTTATTTCTACTAGTTTCAGTTATTTCAGCTACTATTTAGCTGTTTGTATGCTATCAGCGTTTCCACATTTTTTTGCACTCATTTCAACTTTTTTGTTCTTTCTGCTTTCTCCTGCTGCTTGTTCTTCACTTTCAGCTACATTTCAGCATGTTTTTCTTTAGCTCATTTCAGCTGTTTTTCAGCAAGTTCTTCTGTAATAACCAATCACACTGCATTTTCGCAGGAAATGCAGTTTCTCTAGTTTAGCATCTCTCTAAACTAAAAACTTCAGAGGAGCTAAGCTGTACTTGTTTCACCGTCATGTGACTTGTTCCATTTTGAACACAGGTGACTTCAGGTTCATTTCTGCCACATATCGGCTGTTCAAGGTGCCTAAAGGCAGCACGGAGACCTGCCAGGTCATATATAATGGAGGCATCACAGGCGCAGAAGACAGCTTTAAGTTTGACTGTCGGCACACCTTTAAGGTCTGTATATCAAGCACGATGAAGAGGAACGCAGTTTGTTGTTCTGTGTGTAAACGATGTCAAACTTGAATCAAATCCAGGCCAACGAAGTGGTGGAAGTGGACGGGCAAGTGGCTAGCATCTTGAAACATTCAAGATTTGCTGAAGACTTCACTTTTCAGCCACTGGGGGGCTCCTCTGAGCGCTGCTGTGTTAAACCCAAGGTCAGTGTCATATTGAACTTCCTGGATGAGGAAACCCCCTCAGTTTATTTATTTGTTTGAATCATTAGCAGTCAGTGTGTTTCTGGGATCCATTTGAAGTGTGTGGCACACCCAGAGAGCCCCATATAGCCTCAACCACGTGTGTGTGTGTGTGTGTGTGTGCACTGGGATTGCCACTCAAACATGCACACATCCACACACAGAAGGTCAAGCAGCTGTATCTGAGTCATAACCGCAGTGTGGAGTCATGCTGGGGAACCTTGAACAGGAAGGAATGTTCTCTTCTTCATGAACAGAATGGCATCTTATCAGCTTTTATGACCATTCAACACACACACGCCACTATAATTTTTAAAATGACTACAATTTCATTCATAAAGGCCACAATGGGTAGATTTTTCCTAACAGTAGGGGACGTTTATTTTCATGGGAAAAAACAAAACAAATTGAAGCTCTTAATGGTTTATCAAATTACGTCACACGGTTCGTTCTTTGAAGTTCTTCCGCCCCCCCTGAAGTGAAATGAGCTCAAACTTTTTTTTCCTCCCATCAACACGATTTGGTGATAATGGTCATGAGAGGCCTTTGGTCTTCCTTGTGAAAGCGCAGCTAATGTTGGATTTATGAATAACCATTGTCTGAGATAAGCACTGCTGAGGCGCAGGAGAAGTGAATATACGTGGAGTCATAAATTCAACGTGGAGTTTTTCAACCATTCACTCCTGTGTGCGTTTACATAATCTTTACAGCGCTTGTGAGACACAGTCATAAATCTGACTTAAATGCACATGGGTGCATGTTCTACACTCACACTGCTGTTCTTCCTTCTTGAAATATTAATGCAGGCCGACGTCGTGGATCCTTTTGAGCTGGCGGATCAGCTGTGCAGCGAAGGCCTCAGTGCAGCCACAGGGGGATGCTGCAGCACACAATCTGCTGATTGCTGCAAACCATGACGGGAACAGCTACTCACACCTTGTACACATGATAACAGCAGTTCAGCTGAATGCAGGGCTTTAATTGTGTACTCGCAGCTCTAAAACCACATCAGAGACCACTGCAGAATAATCAGTTTTTCCTGATTTTACGATTTAGAGATAAAATTTACTTTTTTTTCTTGTTTTATTCTATAACGTACTGATAATATTTCTTTGAAATTTCAAATAGATAAATTGTCTTTTTGAGCAGCTATTTGTAGAAAACAACAAACGGTGAGAATAACAGAAAAGGTGCAGTGTTTTCAGACCTCGAATGGTTGTGAAAGACAAAAAGGTCTTTCATTGTTAGACGTCACATTAATGTTTTAACGTGGGACGAGATTAGAAATCGTATTCGGTCACGGCTTGCATGTGTTCTGACATGCTCTCGCTGCTGTTGGCCTACTCCAGGAGCAAAAATTCAAACAGCTCAGCTTTTTAAAAATAATACGTGTCCATCCAGCTTCCTCTGGACCACATTACAGAGGTTTTTGATGGGGTTCAGATCTGGAGATTAGGCTGGCCAAGGACAGGGTCTTCATCCAGACCTGAACCTCATTGAGAAGCTGAAGCTCCTCTGCCAGTAATTGGGTTGGGGACGCGGCAGCTTGAGCAGGGAGACCCAGTCATCTGTTTCCACAGCCCCCTCTTCCAGCTCTTCTGCGAGGACTCCAAGGCGTTCCAAAGCCATCCGAGACACATATACCAGTAGCCCTTTTGCATGGGCCTGGGTCGGTCCAGCCTGGGTTCGAGCCTGAGTTCCGAGTCTTTGCATTGGGCAGTCTGGTCCAGCTCAGTTTTTGGAACCCATAGTAGCGGGGTTTCACGGGGGCCGACTGGTGCTGAAGGTCTGAGGTCAGAAGAGTGCAGGCCATTGACTGGTTCACTGACCCTGCTGTACGTGCAGCTCCATACAACTGTAAACAAGCTAGCATTAGCTAGCATTAGCTTACCTTCTTCGTCTCCCACGTCAGCATGATTCTGCTGTGTGGCCCTGTACACGCGTGTCGTTCTGCTGTTTCTTCCAGCAGCACGCTGCCTTCTCTGGCTCTGACTTGTTTTTGATGAGAGAAAGAATTCAATTAAATTCAAATTCAAAAATACTTTGTTAATCCCAAAGGGAAATTAATTGTTGTTGTAGCTCATCTTGGTTTCATTAGAGTTGTTCTAGATGCTGATGTCTTTGGGCAGGAAGGATCTCTTGTGGCAGTCCATCCCATAGCGGATCCAAAGAAACTGGCTACAGATGTCAATCCGTCCACCCAGAGCCAGCAGAACTCTCGGTCCTCTTGGGCAGCAGGACTGTCTGGCAGAACTTCTCCCTGAGCAATGGCCATTTCTCCCAGCAGCCTGCCAAGCCCCTTGTTGCAACCGATGTAACTGCAGGTGCTGGTTGATGATCTTGGTCCTCCCATTGTCACGTGCTGCGTTTCCCGCTACCTCCACGATCTCTGCAGTCAGGCACTCAAGCACCACCTCCAGGTAGACGTGAATGCATCCACGACACCTCCTTTTCAACTCATTTGGGATTTGGGGCTTTAGTTGAGATTTGAGCTTTTGAGATGTTAATCAGCTGCTCCCAGTTGTAGAAAACCACTCTGTTGTTATGGTTACCCACCATAACAAATGTCCAAAAGAAAAAAAAAAGTTTTCAGTAAAAATCCTGCCAGCAGCACAGCATCTGATACCAGAGGAAGTAATCATCCGAAAAAAGCGATTTGCATTCAGAAAAAAAAGAGTAAAGTTTTCAAAAGCAAAATCTCAGAATGAATGCGAGAGCTACTCCAACATGCAGCCACCTTGAGCGGAGCAATTCAGATGAACAATGAATGACGAACAATAGCATGAGCTCCGTGCTTTCCATTGTTGGGTGATGCAAGAAACGACGTCAGCGTTCTTCCTATGAAGATCCAGCCATCATACAAAACAACCAAGTCTGTGCAGAGCCAGGGAAGACCTGGGCCAGGCCAACCAGGGCCAAACCTTACATTGCATCAATGCCAGTATCCAGCAGGTCCTACATCTTCCGCAGGGTCTCCTTCTGTTTGGACATGTCCGTAAAACCTCCCTAAGGAGGTGTCTAGGGGGCACCCTTACTAGAGTATTGTCTCTCCTCGCTGTGGAGGAGCAGCGGCTCTACTCTGAGTCCATCTCAGATAACTGAACTTCTCACCCTGTCTCTAGGGGAGAGTCCAGCCACCCTGCTAGAAAACTCATTTTGACCGCCTGTATCCGCAGTCTTGGTGAGGGTAGTAACGCAAACAGAGCCTCACCTAACAGCTCAGCTCAGCGGACCGGCACAGAGTCCACAATACTGTAGAAGCTGCACCGATCCATCTGTGGATCTCACGCTCCATTCTTCCCTCACTCGTGAACAAAAGCTGCAGATACTCAAACTCCTCCTCTTGAGGCAGAACCTCACCCATCTCAAAACCTTTCAGTTCTTTAGGCATGGTCAAAAGTTGTTTTCTTTTTTTTTATTCCAGTTTTAGTTACTCCTAGCACTGTTTTGGCCTTTAGGTTGGATCTGGCAAGAGGTTAATGATGATCACAGAGGTGGTGTTTATATGTTTCCTCCTTAAAAAAAAAAAAAGATTTTTATTCTAGTGTTCATGTAATCAGCACCTCACCTAACAGAATGAGGGGTTAACAGACACTGGAACTGATCGGCTGTCGTATACGTAGATTCACAAAAATGACCAGTGGTCTCCTTAACTTGTTCCTGGCCTTATCATTTATTTATTTTATGTCTTAAAAATTTCATGCAACATTTCAAAAAGTAATTATCTTTTAGATGTAATCATGTATTTGTGCTGCAAATTTCCACAATTATTTTTATAGTAGGCTAAGACTATAATGTGAAACCAAGAGGTATCACGTTGTACCTTTATTACTAAATTTTATGCATTAGAATAATTTTTTTTGCATCTTTTCAAATTTTTTTAGACGCAATATATGTTAATATGACCCTGTGTAAAATGTATTCTAATTTGCATACATTTCTAATTGTACAGGAATGAAAATACTGTAAATTTATATTTAACATGCTGTCTTACGAGAAAGTCTGAAAACCTCCCACTATTTGAAAACGTGATGTTTTCACCCGTTTGTGGCTCTTTTAGGCTGCGGGTCCCAAAGTTGGAGTCAGGACCTAAATATGGGTCATGAAGCACCAAGTGTGGGGTCTTGAAGATCTGCAGGAATCGAATTAATTAAATAAAAAATAATGATTAATAGTAAATTTAGCTTTGATTATTATAAAGAAATAAAAATAATAGTCATAAATGGATTGAAAATAGTTGATGAGGCTCGACCTGCGTGTTGTTTGTGTCTCTTCCACTTTTATTTTGCCGGTCAGAGCTGAACAGTTTGTGCCTTAAGGTATTCACATAACTTTACTGCAAACATAAATTATACTTTTGTGGCAAGATGCAAAAACTTTAATTTAGTAAAATCTTTAAATAAACTTGAAGAGTCGTGGAACTTGTAAAATGTGTTTTCTTAGAGAAACTAAAAGATTAATTTGAAATCAGTGGATGTACTGTAGTAATAACAAAGTCCATGCTCAATAATCCAGGTATAAAACTGTAGTAATAATACTGTAGTAATACTTCACTTTATAGAAGAGAGTAAAGTTTAGCGCTGTGTTTTTGTGTTGCTACCACACAATTCCCCCCTCTTCACTTTGCCTTTAACCACAGAAAGTTTTACAACACTTATATACAAGTTTCACATTATGACGGCATGCACAAATATGTTCTAATTAGTATTTTACTTTGTAATCTCTATTTACAACAATAAATATGGCTATAAACTGACAGTCTTATATTTCTTTTCACATGTTTGATATTGATTTCTTTTAATGCCACTACAGTAATAATAAACCTCAAAGAAATTCAACAAAATAAAAGACTTGGATGGATGAGTGGGTGTTTTTGTCAACTTGGATTAAACTTAAAAGCAAACTGTAGCTAGTTTTTCCCTCCTTGCTGTTATCAAATAAAGGCTTTCTGAAAAATTCTGCAAAGCAGAAATTAGACATTTGTGTCCTAATACAGGTATAGGCCGCCACCTTTTTTATATATTGTTGATATTACTGAGAACAGCCTTGTCTCCACCCAACTCATTAAAGCTGCTACTCTCTTACATTAAATTTATTTTCATAAGCAAGACTGAAAAGAATGCAAATCACCTTGCACGTCAAAAGTTTGAGCAAACTTTTCATGTGATCTGCCGTAGCTCAGACTACTTGTTGGGTATGACTCTCGGCCACAACCTGCTCAAATTTTAGCTCAATATCTGTAAAACTGACCGAGTTATAGCTATTCTTATATCACCTAAAGATAGTTATCTATGGTGGCCATCTTTCATCGGATGGACCCTAAAAGATAATCAGTTTTAGATTTATTTCCAATAATTAGTTTCTGCGAATTTCATTGAAATTGGGCCTGTGGTTCATGAGATATTTTGCTAACAGACAGATTCAACATGTAAGTCAGGGGGAAATGCATTTATTTTCGGACAAAGGCATGCTATTTTAACAACACATCATCTCACTTTCTTTCTAATGTAATTTAAACGGTATATTAAAATGTGTAATAAAACCACAAATGTTGCATAGAGACTAATTTTAAATAGATGTTTTTAGGGGAGCGAAGAGGCATTATTCACATGCATTTTATTAATTAAATGTATGTTAAATAAGCATCTCTGTAGGTTTGTAGATGTGTGATTTAATGTAAGTTTTATGTCCATTTTTCCCAGCGTGCAGTAAAATATGCTTTAAAAGTCTGTCAGCCTCCTAACATGAGGTGCACTTGTTTTGGAATCTGATTGGCCGACGAGGCAGAAAACGCCCCGCCCCCGCGGCTCTCCGCCGCTCCTGATTGGCCAGCGCCGTCGCCCGTCTCGGGGACATCAAGAGAGGCACGAGTTGGCCCGTGAGCCTGCGCTCGCGAGCCCTCAGTGTCGCAGACGTAGCGGGAAAGAGCAGGTCCCGATGCACAAGTCACGGCAGCGCTGGGCGGAGATGAAGGCGGACTCCGACTGGCTCTGAGTTTTAACAGCTCTCTTCATTCAGGAGCTCGGCGGGTCAACATGGCAGAGCCGTTATCCCGGGAGCCCACCGCTGCAAAAATGGCGTCACTTCACCGGGTCCGAGCGCTGGCGTTGATTTTCCTGACTGTCACTGGCTGCTGCGTCGCCCCGACGAGCGGCAGGGAAGGCTCGGAGGAGACGGTCATCATAGGGCTCCGGCTGGAGGACACGGACGACATTTCCTTCATGGACAGGGGCTACCTGCGGGTGAGCGAGCGGTCCCGGGTGAGGCTGCGCGTGTACGGGCAGAACATCAACAACGAGACGTGGTCCAAGATCGCGTTCACGGAGCACGAGCGGAGCCGGCCGGCGGGGGGCTTTGACAGCTCCTCGCGGGACAACCAGAGCCAGGAGGACTCCTCCGGCGCGCATCCCTGCGGGATCAGGACTTCGGATATAATCATATTACCCAACATCATCTTGAACCGAAAGACCTCCGGGATAGTGGAGATCGAGGTGAAGCCTCTGAGGAAGACGGAGAGGAGTAAAGCTTATTATCTTTGCATCGCCACGTCCGCGCCGGCGGCGGCCGGGACGCACGACCCGTGGACGGAGAACACCTGGATCTACCACGACGGGGAGGACACCAAAGTGATCGTGGTGGAGGAGAAGAAGTTCCTGCTGCCCTTCTGGCTCCAGGTCATCTTCATCTCCATGCTGCTCTGCCTGTCCGGGATGTTCAGCGGCTTGAACCTGGGGCTCATGGCGCTGGACCCCATGGAGCTCCAGATCGTCCAGAACTGCGGCACGGAGAGGGAGAAGAACTACGCCAAGAAGATCGAGCCGGTCAGGAGCCAGGGGAACTACCTGCTCTGCTCGCTCCTGCTCGGGAACGTGCTCGTGAACACCACGCTTACCATCCTGCTGGATGACATCGCCGGCTCGGGACTCATCGCCGTGGTCATGTCCACGATCGGGATCGTGATCTTCGGGGAGATCGTGCCGCAGGCCATCTGCTCCAGACACGGCCTGGCGGTCGGAGCCAACACCATCTTCCTCACCAAGTTCTTCATGCTGCTCACCTTCCCGGCCTCCTACCCGGTGAGCAAGCTGCTGGACTACCTGCTGGGACAGGAGATCGGGACCGTGTACAACCGGGAGAAGCTCCTGGAGATGCTGCGCGTCACGGACCCGTACAACGACCTGGTGAAGGAGGAGCTGAACATGATCCAGGGCGCGCTGGAGCTCAGGACTAAGACCGTGGAGGACGTGATGACGCCGCTCAGAGACTGCTTCATGATCCCCGGGGACGCCACCCTGGACTTCAACACCATGTCGGAGATCATGAAGAGCGGCTACACGCGCATCCCGGTGTTCGAGGGCGAGAGGTCCAACATAGTGGACCTGCTCTTCGTCAAGGACCTGGCCTTTGTGGACCCGGATGATTGCACGCCGCTCAAAACCATCACCAAGTTTTACAGCCACCCTCTGCATTTTGTTTTTAACGACACCAAGCTGGACGCAATGCTGGAGGAGTTTAAAAAAGGTGAGACAACCTGACACATCTGTCTTTAAGCGGCTGCACCTGCTGCCCCACTCCTTGGATAAGAGAAGGCACGTGAGTTACGTAATTTATGACGCAATAAGCCACCGCTAACTTTTCATTCTGCACAAAAGCCTGTGTCAGCTGCACGCTCTGTGGACGACCAGCCCCAAACCTGATTCATCAGGTGGGCTACAGCCTCATGGTGCAAGGTTCTGGGGGCCACTTCCTCCCACTACAAGGTCCTTATCATCCCATCACTTCCACCCAGTGTTAATGTTCACCCTTTCCCACTCTCCTCCTGCTTTCCACAGCGTTTCCCCCGGCCTTCCTCTCAGATTGGTAAGCAGCAGGACATGTGGGAATGGTGCAGCAGCAGAGCTGAGGTTATCAGGTGGGGGCATCGTGTTTGAGCACCTGCTTAAATCCGTCTCTGTGCTTGCATCTGAGCGATGGTGGCGATAACTCCTTTTGTCCGGTCCTGGAATGCAGTTGTGTGGATAATGAATAACAGCCTCTAACACCCCGTGTGTGTGTGTGTTTGTATGCACATGTCCAAGAAAGATGTTTACCTCACACACCTGATCCTTTTGCATCCAGTGCTCGATGCCGATCCAGCAAATTTCCTGAAATGGTTATTATTTGGGCTCATCGTTCCCACATGTCAGCTGCTGAGTTATCACGCCAAAGGTCCAAAAAGGGAAAGGCCGACGCCATGTTTGCTCGTTAGAATAATCGCTTGTCTTTAAGAGGATTAGTCGGGAGGTGAAACAGAACAAATCATTCAGCTCCATTACCAGAAATTAGGTGAAGTTCTCCATGCCAAATTAGCATTGCATAACGTACTATTTGTTTTCATCACAGCTGCAGACGTGCACCGTTCTTGTGAGTAAACAAACGACGTGCATTGACCTACTGTGGTAGATTTACTAATATCACTTTTGTCTCCAGCAGAAACTCCGCTCATGACTGACATAGGTTTTTTTTATTTGTGTGCCTTTGAGCACTTCTATGGGTGTTAAATCAGTGTTTTGTTTTTTTTTTCTCAGTGGGAGAGAATCTGCAAAGTACTTTGTTTCATTGTAGATGTGTTGGTCTATTAGTGCACATTTGTTCTGCAGAGTACCACCGTTTGGCAAATTCCCAGTTCTGCAATCTTGAGAAGTGTGGAATTAGATTTTGTAGTACTTTTTAGATTTGGATAAGTGGGGAAATAAAATCAAAGCTGGGAGAAATAGCTAAACTTTATTCCTTATTGCATTATCTATAAGGATATTATTTAGCTATTAAAAAAAACTATTTAAATTCATCTAAAGTAGTTGCATGTTCGTGTTGGTTCATTTGCGTTTTAAAGTAATTGAAAAACTTTTAGACCACACATGGACAATATATGGTCCGAGGGCCAAAAAAGGCCATTGGATGATCTCCCTCGGCCCTTGGACGTCCAATTACATTACACGAAAACCAAACAAATTTAAAATTTATTGATAAAAACCAGCATTTTATAGCTAAAACTTTAGGTGACTTTAAACTAACTGTTGGACATGCATATCTAAAAACAGTGGACTGAAACTTTTTCTATTTTTCTATGACCGATTCCAGAACCAGATGACCATTAATGTCTCAAAAAGCAAAAATATACTGTCCATAAATTGGCTTATTAAAAGTAACAACTATTTTTTTTCACAGGTACCGTTTTACAGAAAGTATATCGGATGTTCCAACTCATTCTTTGACTGAACCTGCTGACTATGATACATGTCCATATAGGAGATTTTATAAAAGATTGGGAACGTTTTCCAAATTATCCATCTGAAAAAGTATTATATGGTTTTCAGTTCAACATACAACCCTTTGATTGCTTTAATTAAGTCTTATCGGGCCTCTGGATACCAAACGTTTCATGCAAACAAATAGCATGTTGCACCACGTGACTAAAAACTGCAGATGTGTTTCAAAAACGTGCAAGGCTTTTTATTATTACTATATGTGAAAGTGTGATGCTTTATAATAGAAAACTTGTAAGGACCCTGCATGCACAATCTCATGCAATGTGAGTTTATTGCATGAGCTCTCAGTGTTAGGACTGAATGACCGTCAGCTACTGCCACACTAAAGTTTAGCTCAATATTTGAAATACCACTCGGGTATAGCCATTTTTGTTTAAGCTGAGGTCAATTAGCTGTGACAGCCACCTTGAAATGGGTTGATTCCAAATGTTCAGTTGTAGATGTACATCTACTGATTACTTTCTGAAAGCTGGATTAAAGCCCATCTGGTGATGGTGGTTTGAGTTTTGACTAACAAACAGACCGATCGGATACGAGTCGAGTTTATTCAAGATGACAAACAAGGATTCTTATCCTTGAAGTCTGTTCAATAATTCTTGAGATATTTTGCTAATATTCAGTGGTGGCCAGTTCATTGAGGCAGAAAAACATCATTTGCGTACTTCCTCCTAATAAATGTTAAGTACTTATTTACTGAGCTTGCTGTGAATTGTTTTGTTCTGTGTATTTTTTCAACTATTTTGCCACTTTTAAGTGGAATTTAAAATTATTTCTAGTGATTCAGCAGCTTTTTACTTACCGGTACTTACCGTTCTGGGACAGTACCGTTTAATGACCTGCGTTCATCAGGTGGATCCAAACGAGCGGCCAGTCATCCGAACAGACTGGTCCAATAGTTTCCTTTTGGGGCGTCAGATTTTTATGATATGCGAACACGTACAGCTGTTTTTACCGCGTTGATTTGACTTCTACATGGACCTGACGTGAGCTAAAACCCAGGAATAGCTGCCGTGAAACCTGTTGAGACCAACAGTGGAGATATTCTGTTTTTAAATCCATTTGGAGCAGATGGAAAAGACCAGAACAGAAAATTGAGAACAACAGGGGAAAGTCAAAGAACAGGATATTCCCATTAATATGGCAGGACCTTGTATAAGCTATTCTGTGGCTTCTGTGCATGTATGACTACAGTGGATCAGTGGTTGCTGTAGTGGTCTTGTAATTGAGTTGTAGGTTCGATCCCCCTGGAATATCCTATTTGATTCGGTGGTGATGTATTGTATCATAATTGTTCACTTTTATACTATTTTAGAGTTACTTCACTGAACTTTTTTCTCCCATATAATTGTGTTAATCTGGAGTATTATTTTACCTAAATTCAATTCAGTTTATTAATATAGCACCAAGTCATAACAGAAGTTATCCCAGAGTAGTGAACAAATACATTCATATACATACAATTCAATTATTAACATTATTTATTTAAGGTAGGGTCAGCAGATTGCACTGAGTCTTAATTTAATCACAGTCTTCCATCCTAAACAAACACAAGGCAACTGTGGAAAGGAAAAACTCCCTCATGAAGAAGGAGCCTCCAGCAGAACCAGGCTCAGGATAAGTAGCCATCTGCTTTGACCAGCTGGGATTTGAGAGGACAGGAAGGAAAAACAGACACAGAATAGCAGGTCCAGAATGGAGGCGAGCTGGTCCTTCACTAGGAAGAAAGAAAAAAGAAACCCACCACGCTAAAATAGAAATAATTAAAAATGCAAACTATTCAATTGTATTCATTTGTAACTGTTCATTTGATGAAATGAGGTCAGTTTGTCCTCCTGTAGTCTAAGCCTATAGCAGCATAGGATAAGGGATATGTCAGGAAACCAAGCCAATCCCAACTATAGGATTTATCAAAAAGGAAAGACTTGAGCCTAGTTTTAAAGATCAACAGTCTGTCAGCCTTAGAGATGAAAGATCTTCCTCCCATTCTGCTTTTGGAAACTCTACGAACTACAAGCAAACCTGCAGTCTGAGAGTGAAGTGCTCTGTTAGGTAAATATGGAACAATAAGATCTGCAACGTAAGATGGAGCTAGGTTGTTGAGAGCTTTGTATGTCAGGAGTAAGGTTTTGATTTCTGAATTCGACAGGGAGCCAATGGAGATAAGCTAAAACTGGAGAGATGTGATCTCTCCTATCAACTCTCATTAAAACTCTGGCATGTTATGTTATCATGTTATCAGTTATTTCAGAATTTTTGCTTCTAATCAAATTAGAAATTCAGTTCAAAAAGCTGCGCACCTGTCAGCTGGGGGTAGGAGTTTCTCTGATTTATTAGAACAGATTGTTTTTCACGAGACGCAAGAAAGTATGAAACAAAGCATAAACTTTGTAGACACACACAAAAACCAATAAATTAAACATTAAGCAACATATATACAGTTTGTTTTTTCTTCACAGAAAATTTAATGCAATTTGTAAAAATTTTCAAGAAATTATTGTCCGTCCTGCTACAGTTCATATTACAGCAAACTAACATGTGCATGCACAGACATGGGCAAAAACATTATCACTTTTCCTTTGGACTTTACCTCAATGTCACTTGGCGGAGTGCTTAGAGCAGTCGTCCTCCAATGCAAGAGTTGGGGGTTCGATTCCACCAGCAGTCACATGCTGAAGTGTCCCTGGGCAAGACACTGAACCCCTCATTGACTCCGATGTGTGTACCATTGGTGTATGAATGTGATCTAAAAGCACTGATGATTCTTAGAGTGCTGTATGAATGGGTGAATGAGGGCACAGATTGTAGTGTGAAGCGCTTTGAGTGTCTTGATATGATCGAAAGACGCTATATAAGTGCACTCCATTTACCATTTATGGATGATGTCATTTATATGAATGCGCTTACAGTCGGTGATGCTCTGTTTCTGCAGGTTTGGCAAAAATGTGATGACCTAACTAGAGCCTGACCAATATGGAAATGTTGGCTTTCACCAATACCGATATTGGGAGGAGAAGGGGAATGCGATAACTGACATGTAATGGCTGAATTATTTTTTTTTGTTTTGTCCTCCCCCAAGAATCTTAGAAAACAGCGAGTGGAGTGGGTCTTGTTTATTATGTGCTGTTGTTAGCAACCATGATAAGCACATCAAATCCACGTTATACCAAGTCCCACACTAAGTTTACAAGTGCTGGTAAGAAGAGCAGTCTTCCT